CATGTAGTTACCACCTCATTACAATACAGAATGTTTCATATCAGTATCATGTTGATGTGATGTAAATTGTTCTCTGGGAAGCCTTATAAAGAGAGAAAAAAAAGCAACTGGCCACAGCTAACATCATACTTAACAGTGAAAGGCTAATTTTTTTCTTCTCCTAAGATCAAGAACAAGACAAGAAAGTCTGCTCTCATCACTTCTATTCAACATTGTACAAGAGATTCTAGTCAGGGCAATTAGCTGGAAAAAAAGGAGAGAGAGAGAGAGAGGGAGAGAAAGAAATAAAATGCATCCAGATTGGGGAAGGAAGATATAAAACTATCTCTATTCACAGATGACATGATTTTATAAATAGAAAATCCTAAGGAATTCACTAAAAACTATTAGAATTAAAAAATGAGTTCAGCAAAGCTATGGGATACAAAATCAATATACAAAAAAATCAAGGGGCCCATAGGTGGCACAGTTGGTTGAGCGTCTGACTCTTGGTTTCGGCTCAGGTCATGATCTCAGGGTCATGGGATTGAGGCCCGTGTCAGGCTCCAAGCTCAAAGAAGAGTCTGTTGGAGTTTCTCTCTCCCTTGCCCTCTGCCCCTTCCTGTGCTCACTGGCATGCTCTCTCTCTCTCTAAAATAAATAAATAAATCTTTTTAAAAAAATCAATTGTATTTCTATATGCTCACAATGAACAATGAAAAATTGAAATTAAGAAAACAATTACATTTGCAATAGCATCAAAAGGAATAAAATACTTATAAACAAATTCAACAAAATATGTAAAAGACTTGTACACTGAAAATATAAAACACTGTTGAAAGAAACTAAAAAAGATCTAAATAAAAAGATATACCATGTTCATAGATTATAAGACTTTAAATACTTCCTAAATTAATCTACAGATTCAACTCAATCCCTATCAAAAATCCTAGCTTGGTTTTTTTGCAGAAATTGACAAGCTGGTCATGAAATTCATATGGAAATGCAAGACACCCAGAATTGTCAAAACAATTTTGAAAAAGAAGCACAAAGTCAAAGTTACATTCCCAATTTCAAACCTCATTACACAGGTGTAGTAATTAAGACAATGTGGCACTGGTATAAGGACAGATATATAGATTAATGGAATAGAACAGAGTGTCCAGAAATAAACTCTTACATTTATGGTAAATAGATTTTTGATGAGGGTGTCAATATAATTCAATGGGGAAAACAGTCTTTCAACTAAGGGTCCTAGGACAATTGAATATCTACATGCAAAAAAAAAAAAAAAAGAATTTGGACCCCTTAGTTACATCATACAGAAAAATCAATTCAAAACGGATCATGCACCTAAAATGTAAGAGTTAACACCATAAATCTCTTAGAAGAAAACCTAGGAGTCTATCTCTATGACACTGAACTAGGCAATGGTTGTTTAGATATGACACAAAAGCACAAGTGACAAAAGGAAATACATACAAGTTGAATTACAACAAAAAACTTTTGAGCTTTGAATTATATCAATAAAATGAAAAAAATAATCCATAAATGGGAGAAAATATTTGTAAATCATATCATATAAGGGATAGGTATTCAGATTATGTAAATAACTCTTATTACACAATCATAAAAAAACAATTTAAAAAATGAGCACAGAATCTAAATAGGCACTTTTCCAAAGAAGGCATACAAATAACCAATAAGCACATGAAAAGATGTTCAACACCATTAGTCATTAGGGATATGCTAAAAAGAACCACAATGAAATGCCACTTCACACAACTAAGATGGATAAAATAAAAAAGATAACAGCAAGTGTTGCCAAGATGTGGAGAAACTAGTGCCCTCATACATTGTTTGGTTAGAATGTAAAATGGGGGGTGCCTGGGTGGCTCAGTTGGTTGAGCATCCCACTCTTGGTTTTGGCTCAGGTCATGATCTCAGGGTCATGAGATCGAGCCTCACATCAGGATCCATGCTCAGTGGGGAGTCTGCTTCAGATTCTCTCTCTCCCTCTCCCTCTGCCCCTCCCCCATCCCTGTGCGCTCATGCATGCACTCACGCTCTCTCTCTCTCTCTCTAAAATAAATAAATAAATCTTTAAAAAATAATAATGTAAAATGGCATGGTTACTTTGGGAAATAGTACGGCAGTTCTTCAAAGTATTAAATATGCAGCTACCATGAGACCCAGTAATTCTACTCTTATGTATATATCCAAGAGAAATGAAAACATACATCCACACAAAAACTTGTACACAAATATTCATAGCACCATTATTCATAATAGCCAAAAAGTAGAAGCCATCCAGATGTCCATCAAGTCATAAATGAAGTATATCCACAATATGGAACATTATTTGGCAATAAAAAAGAATTAAGTACCAATGTAGCTAAAACATGGATGAATCATGAGAATATTTTGCCAAATGAAAGAAGATAAATACCACATTTTGTATGATTCCACTGACATGAAAGTCCAGAATAGGTAAATCCATAGAAACGAAAAGTAGATAATTGTTTCCCAGAGCTTGGTAAGTGCTGGGTAGAAGATTTCTTTTGGGAGTGATAAAAATACTTTAAACTTAGATGATGGAAATGGCTGCATAAATCTGCGAATATACCAAAAACTAATGAATTGTAGATTTTAAATGGGTGAATTTTATGGTCTGAGCTGTTTTTAAAAATGGGCTCGGTACCTTCAAACTTAAAAAAATATATAAGAGCAATGGGCCTTGGGGATCAAGTGAAGCTGAGTTTGACTACCAGCTTCCCCACAAGTTATGTGATCTTTGGCAAATTCCCATATGGATCTGGGTCTCAATAAATGGTAGATAATCATCTACAAGGAAGGAAAGTCAGGAGAGGTGGGGATATGCAGCATGAAGGTCACAGTGAAGGCAGAGCCAAGATGATGAAAGACGTATATCCAAGACCACCAGCTAGACTTTGGGTCTTAGTCCCTGTCTATTCCCCAGCAGAAGGTGCCTTTCCTAGATATCCCACACATGAGGGTGCCCCCAGAGCCATGTTATGCCATAGGCATTGACTTCAACTCTTCCCAGAGGCAAGAGCAGCATCCCTCCCATCAGATAGCAACATGTGCTTCTCCCATCATCTCCCACCTTTGGCTAGATTTACAGCAAGAACAGAATATTTACAGTATTAACAGAATGGAGGGAACACAAGAAGGATGTTGACAATCAAATTCCAGGCCATTTTCATCTTGCACTGCTCAACTGGGAAGGTCATTTTCTCCCCAGTGCCCATAAGACATTAGATGCTTTGAGCTTTGGATTCTAGACAGTGTAATGGAAATAGATGTTGAATGCTAAAACATAAACATATGTATCATTCATAATGCATTCAGATGTTTTTCAATTATTCATGGTTCCTGAAAGTTATGTGACCTATCATGCATATAAATCCAAGCAAAATTTATATTAGAACCACAGCTTCAATGTACGCAATTCCAGCTCCTTGGCATTCCCGTCTATGGAATTAAAATTAAATGAGTCAGTGGTCAATAAAAGTTACATGTGATTTCCATAAAATTATCCATTGTATATTGCTCTGGGGTGGAGAAAGAAGGTTGCCTGGAGTTGCCGAAGCTGACAGAACACAGAATGCTTGCTTTCTAATGAGGGTGGTGGTGATGATTAGGCTTTCCTAAGAATGAATTCATTATTTCCCCGAATAATTGGTGGTCTTGGACTTACTTTTCGTCTAGAAAAAAAAAAAAAAAAAAAACTCAGAGGGCCACCCTCCTTCTCTTCTGTTTAAGTCCTGTTTTCTTTAAGAGAAAAAAAAAAGAGAGAGAGAGAGAAAGAAGAAAAAAAGCCAATGTTCTGGGCTCAAAAACACCACATTCTTCTGTTTTGGTGCTTGAATAAATTTGCATGTTAACATGAATGGTTCCAACTTTAAGAATGTAAAATTAAATGAAATTTGAATTCAAATCCAAGATGGAGAAAAGACACATGCAAAAACAACAGATTTCCAATCTTGTTGATTTTTTTTCAGGAGCCAGATTAGGAAAGACATAAACACACACACACACACACACACACACACACACACACACACACACACACTTGGTTTCAAAGCCGGGTGGCGCTCAGAGGAGACAGGCGGTGCCAAAGAGGAGCCCCCCACTCCGTACCCCCGGCTCACGCACGTTATGAGTATTTACAGATCACAGCACAGATTCTGAAGCTCTGTTTTAATGTCTGAATGCCACCCTAAAACTCAGAAATAGGACTTAGAAGACATGCTCACCATCACATTCCTACTTGTGAAGGCCCACCCAGATAAAATGAAATATAAGGAACATTCTATGAGTAGCTCAAGTGAGCATAGGCATGAATTTGCCTCTGCCAGCCTGAAGATCCATTTCTTGCTTGGACTCCTTCTTTGCACTGGAAGGGCAGTATTGCATATTGGTTAGATGCACTGACTGTCAGAGATGGACTGGGGTTGCAATCCCAGATCCACTCACCATTTACGGGCTGGGTGACCTCTGGCAACTGACTTAAGCTATGAACATAACTTTTTTCATTAGTTTTCATTTACCTAACAAGAGTGCCAGCCTCCTAAATTTATTGTGAGAATAAAATAATATAATGCACTGAGAACAGCATCTAGCCTGGAGCAAGCATTCGACAAAGGTTATCTGCCCTCGTGCTAGTTGGTATAGTATCGTTATTAGATATTTAGGTGATGGAGTCTGGAGGAACTGGCCCAGAAACTGTTTCTTTCTTTCTTCTCCAACCTGCTCTCCCATTTTGTCTAGACACTGCCACCCAGGAAAGAGAGATAAATCAAGTTACGGCAAAACCCTGCTCCCCATAAACTCTGAGTGCAGGTCAACAGGAAGTGTCATGAATCATTCCCTCCTGTCCCATTCCCATCAACCCCATCTCCCAGTCTAGTCTCTGTCCATGAAGGCACTCCAAATGAGATGACAACAGGATCTTAAGAAATAAAGGAGACAGCGAGCAGCAAGTGCCTGCATCTTACCTCTTCTTCATTCTCTGTCATATTGGTACCCAATTTCTGGACAACCGACTTGCCACTTGCCTTCAACATTTTCTCTCGAACTTTGGTTTCATACTCAGGCCGGGAGTGTTCCTAAAACCCAAGAGTCAATGCATAGTTAGTAAACAGGCAGAAGAGTGACCCTGGCCTATGGGTTATAACCAGACACCACAAGTACAATAGTCAGGACTTAGGATCAAATGCTATTAGACATGAACTGTTACACCACACACGATCACAAGGAGTCTAGACCAGAAACACAATGTGCAGGAGAGAGAGGGGACACACAACAGTTGTTACCACACTGAAAACCAAACCTGTGCACGTTCCTGGGGATGGGACCGGTGTTGAGAAAGGAGAGAGGAAACGTTAACTGGGCAACTGATACAAACAGAAGCGTCTGGTCATCCTAACTATCCTCATACCTCAAACTGTAAGTTTCAGTGAGCCAAATCCCAGCTAGAGAAACAGATGTGCCCCACAGCTGGGAGTTAGGGCAACGACAAAACTTCTTCCTGCTCCATTATTCTGAAAGCTAAAATGGCAACCAATAAACATCAAAGTTAAAGATAGCCACAGGGAATCTTAAAACTCACTTGCCTGAACCTGTTTCCTGTACAGCCTAGGTGAGTAACTCATTGGCAAGTACACCAATACTCAAGAGATATTACTGAGCCATTCAGCAATACAAACGTGAATAGTGAGTCACCAGGCACAGGAAAGAGCACCTAACTAATCAAGAGGACTACGGTCAAATCAATGCAGATGCTGAAGCAGGAAAATGCATGACTTACTTCAAAGAGAATTTAACAGTGTACACCTGGTCTCATTGGCAGGTTTTCCCTGCAGCATCCAAGGACGAATACCTACAGGTGTGAGGATTTCATGTTCCTCCTGTAGCATTTATCGATAACTCCTAGGCAAGGATTCAGGCGCTGGCTCACAGTTGACTCAGAGAACACACATTTCTTTACCACTGCTCACACATCAGAGTTTCCAAAAGCTAATAAGCTAGGCTCTTGACCAGTCTTTGGCTTTCCCAGTACATGTCATGATACTGGAGAGGAAAAACCATGCATGTGGCTTATAAACATAACCAATAGAACAGGAGGTGATGCTATTCAAGGGTTTTAAGTCATCCCATCACTGCCAATCTCCAAAGATGCATCAGCCCCACCCCTTCCACAACTTCCTGCTATGGCATACCTGGTGGAGTCTCCTCCCTCTCGAGTAGCCTAGAATTTTATAGCTTATAGCACATGCAGTTCTTAATTATGTATTTTTCTTTTATTATTTCCTAGCTGTTTTCATGTGAGTCTTTTTATATCAATATGAGGGTCTGCAACCTAATCTGTCTTAATTAGCACCATGTAGCACCCAGAAATCTCTAAATGCTTGTGAAGCTCACTGATTTTGTCTCTCACCTTCATCCATTCTCCAACACATCATTTCCTAATGTGTGTACTAAAAGAGTTGTAGGTAAAAAAGGATACCAGTGGTTAAGAGATTGGAAAAGCCCACACAATGTATCACCTGAGAGTCACAATGAGCATATTAGAAGCTCTGAAAAGTTCTACTTTGAAGACACTTGCTTAATGTTTTTAAACCCACTATTTCTTGTAAAAATCCTTTTGCCTCCAACAATGAACATCCTATAGGAATACTTTGAGAAATTTGGTTTGAAGTTGTCCTCCATGGCCCCTGAAATCCGGTCACTTTTCATTTATATTATTTCCATGCAAGATTTTCATTAAAAAAAATATAGCAGTATCTTTTTGGTGAGTACCATAATGTGGATTCTAAACCCCCTCAAGCTAAAGTTGTTTCTACCTTTCATACCCTGCAAAAGGGCTGAGGAACTCTCCCTACTGACTAGGAGGCTGCTCTTGACCTGCCTCTGACTTTCCAAAGACATGCCATGACATCACACAGAGATGTGTCCTCGCATCCCTCTAGTTGTGGCTGGCCCACCTCACCCCACGCTGGGCCACCATTCAGAACCCCTCACCTGTTTAGAACAAGTTGAGCATTCTTGCCACATAAACAGGAGTCCAAGACTCTCAAAACAGAGTCTTAGGCTGTTCTGCATTCCAGCTGAAGCAGGTCAGACAAGGATCTATCTGTTTGTGGCCAAGAAGGTCGGGTGAGGTTACAGAATTCCTCAAAGGCAGGGAGCTGGACAACTGAGCTCCTGGTCAGAGCAGAATCCAGCCCCTGTGTGGGCTGCTCCAGTGTACCCAGCCTCGGGCGGGTCCTCCTTATTCCTGATGTTTCTCATACACAGCCTCTCTGGATTGGTGGTCTGATGCAAAATAATCACAAATACATATCCCCTCCCATCTAGACTCTGAGAAATACTTCCCAAAGCTACTTCTACCTGGTTGGTCTCCTCAGGAGCCGGCTAAAGGAAGTCCCCAGGCCAGCTCAGGACCAGCCTTCTCTGATCTAAAGAGGTAAACCCAGAGATTCATTCAATAAATGTCTTCATCGAAGAGTTTTCAAGCTCCTACTGCGCTCTACACTTTTTTCCAGGCTCTGAGGCCACAGTGGAGCTTGAGCTTATCTTTAAGTGGAGGAAGGTGACAATAAGCAAACAAACACACAAGAAACTTGGAGGGCGCCTGGGTGGCTCAGTTGGTTGAGCGACTGCCTTCAGCTCAGGTCATGATCCTGGAGTCCCGGGATCGAGTCCCACATCGGGCTCCCTGCTCAGCAGGGGGGTCTGCTTCTCCCTCTGACCCTCTTCCCTCTCGTGCTCTCTGTCTCTCATTCTCTCTCTCAAATAAATAAATAAAATCTTTAAAAAAAAAAAAAAAGAAACTTGGAAAAGCCCACACAATGTATCACCTGAGAGTCAGGTGATATTTCGAACTAGGATATTATATTTTCTTATATATTACTTATATTTCGAACTAGGATATTAAATGCACTTTAAATTCAGTTCAATCTGAAGAGTCTCTGAGCATCTCCAAAGGAGTCCATTCGGCTAGGGTGCTTTCTGGTCTCTAAATATTTAGAATACGATGGTGAATATGTGAGAGAAATTTCTTCTGGCTAAAGTAGCCAGGAAGGGTTGAACGAGTGGGGTGCCTCAAGTTCAGGTTGTAAGCCAGGGAGAAGTAAGAAACCAGCAGCTAGGGATAAGAACAACAGAAGAAATAAAACAGGATGGCTGCTTCCAAATGGGGATTCAGGGAAGGCCTGTCTGAGGAGGGTAATGTTTTGGCTGGGATGGAAAAGCCAAGAAGGGATAGGCCATGTGGAGATTGGAACATTCTAAGCAGAGGGAACAGCCAGTGCAAAGACTAGAATGAGCTAGGAAGAGACTGAAGGTCTATGTGGCTGGAAGGTCTGAGCAAGGAGGAGAATGACATGTACTGTCAGAAAGGGAGGTAGAGGATTTTGCTTCCTGTGTGATAGAAAGCTATGTAGGACACCTAAAGCTTGATATGAAAGACAAGAGATGGGAGAGAGATGGAGGGGAGGACATCTATGTTCAGACAAGGGCACCCTCTAGGAGGAACACCTGGGGCCTGACTGACAGAAGCTAATCAGGCAAGTGAGGCCCACTGAGCTGAAGATTGTCCCACTTCAGAGCAAAAGACTCTGGAGGTCTGGCAGGCATCCCTTCAGCAAGAACAGGATCCAAAGAGTCGTTTAGTAAGTCCCTCGAGATGGCCCTCCTGGTTCCACACGAAGACCCCCTTAGGCAGGGGCCACACGGACCCAGGAAGTGGAGCTTGGATTTGGTTGTGCATGTCCTTCCCTACCCTGAAAGAAAACCGTCTCCAGCATCCTACCACTTCTCCCTGGCTTACAACCTGAACTTGAGGCACCCCACTCGTTCAACCCTTCCTGGCTACTTTAGCCAGAAGAAATTTCTCTCACATATTCACCATCATATTCTAAATATTTAGAGACCAGAAAGCACCCTAGCCGAATGGAATCCTTTGGAGATGCTCAGAGACTCTTCAGATTGAACTGAATTTAAAGTGCATTTAATATCCTACTTCGAAATATAAGTACATTAAAGGAAAAGACAAGGCTGTCCTCCCTTCGTCTCAACCATGCCTGACCCAGGGCACACCAACCATGCTGTAGAAGCAAGCCGCCTTGCAGTCACCTGACCCATCAGGAGTGACCAGAGCCCATAAGGAACCTCTCCTTGTGGCACAGGTAAACCAGTCTTGGCCAGACCACTCCCAGCCTACACACGAGTTCCTGAAATCATGTACTACCCGTGAACTTACCACTGATCTCTGGGTTAATTAGAAAACAGGAAACCTGGCTATAGAAACAAAATGGATTATCCTGCCAGCCCTGCCAGGGGCCTGTGACTGAGATTCTTGAGGGCCTCAAGTCATAACCGATCGCTTTCTCTGTGTGAGTGTGTTTACACCTCCTCTCCAGCAGAGACTTGCTGGCTTCCTCAGCTCTCCTTAGCAGACACACTTAGCTCATCTCTGGCCCCATGCAGGCTTGGATGTCACGATGTGTCTTCTTCTCTTCTTGGGAGACATGCTAGGCCCTGCATTAGGAGAGCAAGGGCTCCTGCTTCTCCACACCCAGCCACAACTCTCTTTCTCTCTCTCCCTTTGCTAAAGCAAATGGAACCCATAGGACAAGGATGTCCCAACCAGATCACCCCTACAGTCCCACTTCTATAGCACTTTCTATTGGAAGCACTCATTTGGCCATTAATTCCCAAGAAATGCAATTGCCTTCATTATTATGCTTATCCTCTTAATTTGTATCCTCCCTGAAGGTAGAATCCATGTGGACGTTCTCTGATCTGCCACAGAACCCATGATACCATTAGTCTCCAGGCATACGTTTAATGCACAGGCCTGGAACACAATGAGCACACGCACTCAATGCTTGGGGATGGAATGCCCCCCTGCTCAATTAGAGCATCAAGGAGAAGAAATGACACCATAAGACAGACATGTGGAGCCACACAGGCTTGAGAACAAGCCTAAATTGGGGATTTCCTTGTTTGGCCATAAAACATCAGGGCCACAAAGCCAGCGATCCCCAGGCTAAGACGAAGCACATCAGTTACTGTGGGAGAATCCAGAAAAGGCATGCTTTCCATGTAGCCGCCACTATGCTTGTGGCCAGCCTTTGCAAGTGAGTCCTCAGGCAAATGCAAGTACCTCCTGGTCTTTCTAGACACTGTCCCCAGCACCTCATCGACAATGTCCACACTACCAGGAGCCCCTATCCAATATTCACATCTACTGTTCAGTCAGTGGTGGCAAGTGGGAATAGATAAGAACTGTGAGTAACCATGCACTCACTACTCATTGCCAGCTCACCAACATCAGGACTGGGGCCCTAGTTCTCATAAGAGCCCAGAGGGAAGGCTGATTTGTTTTCAACCTTCAAATATCATCTGTCCATAAAACTAGAGAAGAACCTTCTAGAAGAACCTACCCTTTGCCCTTAGCTCATCCTCTAGTTTCACCCATGCTGTACTGGCTTACACTGTAATAGTTCAGTGGTTCTTTCTTCTTCCACACGCATCAAAGGCAATCAGCATCTGGCACCCATACCTCTCCCTTCACCCTCAGCAGGCTTACAGAGGCATTCTGACAGATGCATGCTCTGGGTTACATGAGAGTGAGTCCTACTCTCTGGCTTCATGTACCCATGAAATGGGAGGTACCACAAAGGCTTTTCTCTTGTGCCATCTCTTTTTCCAGAGAGGGTCCCTAGGACATCTGACTGCCCATCAGGTCCAATGTCTCAAGAGAAGAGTGCATATCAACCATGATTAAGACCATGAAGCCAGGGACTGCCTGATGTGACAGCAAATGTAAGTGGTCATCTCACTCATGAAGATCTATTTGCAGGGTGAAACCAAGCAAGGACCCAGAGAAGTATGCAAGGGAACTCACTTCTTCCTCTTCTATACCAGTCAGGTCCCAGAAGTAGCCCAGCCGCATCTGTAATCTCTTCCAGTTTTCAAGAAACATGGTAGCTTAAAGAGAAAGAAAAAATTCTATTAAAGAGTGGATTTTGAGTACCCTTTGGGTTCACCAATGGAGGTGGAGGATAAACCTGAGATTTCAAATTTAGGGACTCTCTTTAAAGCATTTATTCCCTTCCTCCTACTTCTAGCTGGAACTGCTCAAACTATTGCACATCCTTTAAGAGCCCAATAGATACACGTAAAGGAGACACACCAGCACACACAGATGCATGCACCCCTCCCCATTTCTAGGTTTTGAGAAGAGGGCAAACAGTGATCTCAAGAAATGAAGGAAGGATGGAAAGATGAAGAAAACAAGTATGGAAGGATCTATAGTCTTTTTTGACAAAGCTCATCTTCCCTACACATACATTCTTTCTTCCTGCACCTTCCTCAGAGTTCTCACTCATTTTCTCCCATCTTTCTTTCTTTTTTTTTTAAAGATTTTTTGTTTATTTTTTAACAGTGAGAGAGGGAACACAAGCAGGAAGAATGGGAGAGGGAGAAGCAGGCTTCCCGCCAAGCAGGGAGCGCGATGTGGGACTCGATCCCAGGACCCTGGGATCATGACCTGAGCTGAAGGCAGATGCCTAACGACTGAGCCACCCAGGCGCCCTCCCATCTTTCTTTCTGTCTCCAGTACCACATCCCTTCTCTGGGCCCCAGCTATCCTGTCCTGAGGTTATGTACCACCTGACTTCAGTGTCTCAGCCTTCCAAGCCCAGTGGCATGTGGCCGACAAGAGTATTCCCCCCTAGGGGCATTCACCCAGGCTTCCATTTGTTTAGCAAGTAGCTGCTGAGTGCCTCCCATACCCACATGCCAGTCAGTCTGCCTGCTCCACCCTCAGCCCCTTGAAGGGCCGCCCAACATGCTCCAAGGAGAACCAGCACCCTCCACTCGACAGCAGAGGCTCATTACACCAGTACTGAACACCTCATCCAGAGCCTGCTGATGGACCATACGGTCCTCTCTTTTGAAAACTGGAACTAAGAGATACAAAGAGAAGCAGAATTGGGATGAACCATGCAGCACCTGAAAGGAGAAAGGGCCAAGATTTCAGAGAGCTCCTCTAGCTCCAGTCCCCCAGAGGCCTGGCTCCCTTTCATTACCTGCATCCAGGAGCTTGCTTCTGGTTTTCTTATAACACCTCTCTTGTTCTTTGAGCAAGCTGGAATAAACTTCCAATCCTGCAAAAAGAACTGGGCCCAACTAAGGTATCTGTAATACGCAAAACACCATTCTAGACATCATCAGAGAGATTAGGTGAATCTAATGTGGATTTTGCTCTCAAACTGTCGACAGTCTATAGGGAAAGACTGTAAATAGCTACAATACGAGGCATGAAGTGCTCAGGGCCTTAAGAATGACACCGTAAGGAGCTGTGGGCATGCAGCAGAGGGAGTGTGCTGGCTGCCAGAGAAGCCATCTGAGCCGAGTCTTGAAGAACAATGGCATTTGGGCAGTGAAGAAGGGGCTGGGAGGGGGAGGATGCCAACACTCCCCCATCTAGACTTTCAATGGCTCCTTATTGTGTAAGTTCTTCTCTCTGGATGGGGGGACCTTGTGTATGTGGCCCGACCCATCTGTCTAAATCCATTCCCTCAGTCTGCCAACATACAACCTCACACCTGCATTGCTGCTAAGGTCACCTCCTCGCTGCCCTCCTCATCCCCAACTCACGCAAACTGTCCTGTGCCCCTATGCTACCCTCCACAGGCTACCCTCATCCTTTCCTGACCCACTCTGCTGGGGTCGCCCTCTCCTCCATGCTCCAACTGTCCTTAGGGTCTGGTGCCCTGGAAAAGAAGGGAAGTGACACTCCCTGAGGCCACCCCCGGGACACCACCCACAGGAAAAGCCTGGGCACCCTTCGCCACATGCCGCACTGCCCTGTTGGCTGCGACTCAGGTCTGCAGTGTTTCTATAATGGGACTGTAAACTTCCTCAGCTCTTAGCTGCCTGTTTGCCTTGGGCACAGCACAGAACTAAGCAGAATAAACACCTACAGACCGGCTGAATGTGCATTTGCTAAAAGCTCCATGTTTTACTTGGCACTATGTTACAGTGCACAGATTCGCAGGGTTTCTCCCTTGGATTTGCGGCTTTTTCATTTAAGTGCATCCTGACCTCCCAACACTGGCACTGGCCTGGGGATGCTCTGGGAATAAGGTGGGGAGGAGGGTGTCCCTCCTTTTCCTATGCTCTTCTCAGCACCTGAGGAGGGCTCCGCATACAGCACAATCCACAGTGCTTCCTGACTGCAATCTCTATGAAGAAGAGAAGTCAGAGCATGGGAACAGATGAGAGGGGCAAAGAAGTCACTGCAGAGGATTCATGAGGACAAGGGAGGCCCATCATAATGAGGAAGAGCAGCCCACAGCTCCTGGTGTATATTCTCTGCCAGGCACCATGCTAAGTGCTCTGCACCCATATCTCATTCACTTGTCCCAAGAGCACCGTGGGGGTGGGTATTCCTTCACCCATCTCACAGATGAGCACGATGATGCCCAAAGGTTAAGAACTTTGCCCCAGGTACATGGCATCTTGGTTAAGAGTGCTGACTTTTGTGACACGGAGCTAGATCCACACTGTCTTCTTGCCATGGATCCCCAGCTGGTAAGGAGCAGGACTGAGACACGCATCTAGGACCGCCTGGCCCCTAAGTCAATGCCCTTAACTTCTATTCAGAACGGAGTTCAGAAACCCTGGCCCTTTACTTCCCTTTTCAATAAGGCTTCACTCGCTTTCCAAAGTTCCCTGGAGTCTGAAGTGGAACCACAGAGGACCTGGGCCTGAAGACTCCACAGACCCAGGCCCTGCTGACTACCACCCTCCATGTACCCCCACTCCTGCGCAACTGACAGGTAGTCTCTCTGCGAAGAACCACTTCTCCCAGCCTTCCTCCTGGCAGACTGGGCCCCAGCCCAGGCCCACCCAGCACAGCACCACTGATCATAATAATCATGGTAATGAGAGGCAGTACTACTATTTTTAATCATAATTTGCAGGCAACCGTGCCCAGCAGCTCTTGACTACTGCAACCAAATACACAATCACATAAACACGGCCAGGCTGTTAAAAAACACAACTGAACCCCACGCTATGCCAGGAAGCTCTGACACATCCCACCCTTCATGCTTTTCCTGAGCTACCCCATGAGGGGGAGTGAGAGGGGCAGGGGTGGGGACAGTAAATTATCGCAGATCCCAGGGGGCAGGAGGCATCTGTTAATTACAGCTTTGAGGAAAGAGAAGAGGTAGTTGTTGGGGCTTGAGAGTGGTCAAGTACAACTGAAAATCAAGTTTCTCTACAACAAGGAATTACACACCCCAGGAAAGTCCATAAGGGATCATGGACCCAGCGTTATTAAGCTTTAGCTACTCAGTCATGGGAATCTCTTCAGACAAATGAATGGGAATTAGGATTGCAATATATCAAACACTGAATATGTATTCTGGATTCAAATCAGTTCCAGTGGATTTGAGGGTAATCATGAGATGCCCTGCTTGACAAGGAGACACAGAGCTGCTGCCTAAGACTCCCAGGCAACAAGCTTCAGCTTCAGCTGGTTCTACTGAAGCCCTCCTGTGAACAATTCCAGGGCCCTATGGTGACCAGTGCCACCTCCTCCTACTCCCTGCCCCTATTTCTGTGGGCTGACTACTTCCATGTGTCCCTGGGCAGTGGCTATTCCCCTAGGGAACAGAGAAGAGAGTGTCCCCTGGAAATGTTCCTTGGTGGCCTAGTAATATGGCAGTCTTTCCAGTCTGGTTCTATCTCCACCCAAGGAGAGGTCCCTTCTGGGAACAGAGAAAGCTTGTATTAGTACTCCCAGCACTACTGAGAACAGACCTCTCCCTCTCCCTCTCTCTTCTTCACACTTTCAGGAATGTGTGACTCATGGTCTCATCCTGGCATGTCCTCCCGACCCCATGGAGTCAGTGATAATCAAGCATCCTCTGCAGTGGGATCACGGCCCTGCTGTTCTGTGATCCAATGGGGAAACTAAGGGCCTGCATATCCAATGATGAGTAAAAAGTGAAAGTCAGGTGACTACTCAAGATGGGCTGAAACATGTAGACTTTGTTCCTTGTATGATATATGTGGGTGTGTCTCCTTGGAAATGTCCAGTTACCACAGGGGTTATTATTCTAGGTTATTCCATTCCAGTTTGTGAATAGAAAGAGAGAGAGAGTGTGTGTGTGTGTGTTTATGGTCAGATGACTACGGCCAGAGAAAGTTTATTACCCTAATACTCTGGGGGTAAAGGGAGAAGAAGGAAAATGAAGGAACTATCTGTTCTCTCCTTCACAAATCCCTTTGGTGGAAATACTGAAAACACTACTCTGGCATTAAGTAAAATCTCCACCATCTGCACTCATGGTGTCCCGGAAATTGCACAGAACCTGGAGTCAGGAGATCAGATTTGGGCCCACCTTCACCACCAGCGAACTCTGTGGCCATAGCAGTCACCCCACCACTCTGAGTGTTATAGTGACTATCTGTGACTTTACACATCTTAGCAGATATACCTGGAGTGCCTTATGGGTGTGCTAGGGATTTGCATTGGTTCAAATTCTGAATAAAGCATACATGAGATTAGCACAAGATTAATATCCTCTATGTTTTTAAAAAATATATAAAGCCAAGGAGGATATTCCTAGTTCTATTCACACATAGAAGTAAAAGAGAAAAAGCTATTGTCCCTAAAATACTTCTTGAGGTATGAGGACTAAATACTAAAGGGCATAAATCAAAGGATATGGGCTTTAGAGCATGGTCACTGTACCCATTTAAAGGTATCACCAAAATAAGCAAGGTTCATGATAACCACTTACCCCATAGAGCCATGAAGATGGAGAAGAAGACGGTGGCAGGGTTGTCAAACAGGTGGCTTGCCTTTGCCGTACCACAGGCTGAGCTGAGGTTCCAGTAATCACAGGACTTGTCGCACAGGGGACACATGGTGAAGGCATTCTGCTGGTCACACATCTCTTTGCTGCAGTAGAGAGAGGCTGCTGGGTCAAGTGGAGCTCGAGTAGGACCCACCCCAAGCAAATCACCCTAAAAACATCCCCCACTTCCAAATCCATGGCGGAGCTGATCAACTCCAAAAGTGGGGTGTGTTAAAGACGTTGAATTCTTTACCATGAGAGCATTACTCCTGTATTTTGTCAAAGAAGTGGGTGGGCCACTGCTGAGGTACAGATCCTATCACTAGGAGTGTCCTAACAGAAAATCAGTGAGCATCTGCCAGAGATGTTGTACACTGCATGATGCTTTATAAAGTCCCTTCAAAATGCACTGAGTCTAAAAGGTTGGTGGGGAGTACCACCAACTATGAATCCGTCACTTGTCTGAAGTTAGGTTTCACCATCTTCATGCAAGCTCAGGCTGTCTCATTAAAGCCTACTGGCTGCCTCACAAACATGTGAGACCTGGTCACAAGGAGAGGCAAATACAAGAGTGTGATTGGATCAACACAATCTCTTACTTCTCAAGGAGAAGCCATGTGGAGAAGAATGGAGTCAGAGCTGGGTTGGAAGCCCCTTTCTAAGTGCATCAGCTGCATAACCATTTGTAGAATGGGAATTAATAACCTCAGCCTAATAATAATGATCTAAACCATGAAATGGGATTAGGGGGAATGGAAGAATAAAGTAAATTCTTCCAAAGTCTAGGTTCTATGATACTTATAGAGTCAAAAAAACGTTAGCTATATTCTAACCTATTCTCAGTATATTTCTATTTAGTGGACTAATGAATATAGTTGAAATTCCATTCACTCTTTAGGTGATTAGCTAGATCCAATAAATTCAGGCTCATATGAGTGCTTGCAAATGAGAACCAAAGAACAACCAGCCCTAATCGGCTTCCCTACTGTCCCTCCACACTACATATTGGTAGGAAAATGAATGAACTCATCACTCTGGTGTGTAATATTTCCCCAGGGGAATGGATAGATGGTGAAGTTCACTGTTTGGGAGAACAGGGTGGAGAACTCAAGATTTCACGAAAATGAAGCATCGGCTGTTCTCACAGAGCTGCTGGAGACACACACAGTCATGGGGAGGCAGGGGGTCCTACTCTGAAAACCGCCGCTGTGTTTCCTCCAGAAAGGGACAGCAGAGGGCACTACAGAGCATGGCTGACAAGTGGGAGGACATTGCCAGGGTCAGCCGACTGGTACCCTGTGTGCTAAAGCAAGTGCTTAGATGAAAGCCAGAAGTCAAGGGATGCCTGGGCCCAGCTCCCCTTCATTAAGAAGATGAAGGGTTTTCCTGAGGGCTGTCACCGTCTTTCAAGTCCCGGCTTTCAGGCTTGTTTTTAATGAGCTATTAAGCCCAAAACCAAGAAAGGCCATTCTGTGTGAGAGAATGGAAACTCTAGGTCTCTGAGAGTATATCCTCATTCCTCCACTGACTCGCTGCTAAGCTCTCCATTGGCAAGTGTCAACAGCAGTGACTCATTCACAATGACAATATTACATAGTAACATCTTAATAATAAGTTCAGCCGTGCTGGTTTCACTTGGGCACGTTCCTATGGGTAACCGGAGAGCAAGGTTTATTCTAAGTCTTCTGGGTCCAACAATGTCCCCTGTATCGTTGAGGAGGAGTCACTACTTTCAGAGAGGAGAGTCCCCTCTTAGAAAACAGATTCACACAGGAAACTGTTGGTCTTTATAAATTATAGTAAGGAGCTGTGCTTTTAAGCCATGACTGAGAACATATAAGTTCCTTGGTGCTGCCCTTCAAATATGTGTGTCAGGGACATCACTTTGTTGTTTGGGGCTTTTTTTTTTTTTTTTTGAACACATAGACTTGGGGAAGGGATAATCCCTAGCCAACCTAATCCTAATCAAAACTAGTCAGTGCTAAAATGTCAGGAATCAAAAAGTGTTAGCAAACCAGCTAACAAAGTGCAAAGCACTTTGAAACATAAGTGCTGTGTCAGTTATTGGCTTTACAATGGGAGGACAGTCAACTACCAATCATTTGTACAAAATGGCAGCCACTATCGCATGGATACTCCCCAAATCATTTAAACTTGAAATCACAATGCTTTATAGGTATAGGGTCGTTTTGTTTATTTGTCTGTTTGATGCAAGCCATTTGAACAGAATTCTGGAGAAATTCTGCCTCAGGATGATATTAAAATGACTTTGTGTTCCCTGAGAGAGGATGCCTCTCTAGACAAGGCTGAAAGAGAAGCGGAAAGGTGAGGGAAGCTCAGCTAAAACTGAAATCACATCTGGGTTTTTCACTAGCTGCACAATCCACGGATTTCTAGTTAGAACCAACTGTGGCTATAAATCAAATGCTGTATTTCTTCAGTCTATTATTTTCTCTAGAAAGCACAAGAAGGTTGATAAATGGCCTGGCAGTCAGCTGAACCAGGACTCCAAAGTGAGTGGTGTTTTTAGTCAGTAACTCGTTGCTCATAAGTTTGGTGATACAGGGCTGTGCTTGCACAAAGGGAGATGGTGCAACATGGGAATTATTCCAGAAATTCAGACACAGCATCTGCTATTAAGGTCTCAGACCAAGGTAATCATTTTTTTTCAAGATGGTTTAGATCAATCAGCTTTTTTTTTAGCTTTTTTTAATGCTCCAGGCTTTCCTACCCATGTAAGCCAATGCCTAATAAATAGAACCAATCCTTTGGTAAGTAGAGAAAAGTTCTATAGATGTATCATGCACATATGGAATTATTACTCATAAGTGATATTTGTATTCATATATCCAAGTTGCTGGTGATAAAAGGTACCATTTAAACTTCCACATAATGTAAATTTTCTGCTTTTGATATTGTTATATGAGACATAACTATTATGTTATATGGTTATATGAGACATAGGTTATATGAGACATAACCATGAGGGGAAATTGGATGAAGGGCATGGTGGGCCCCTTTGTACTATCTTCCTATTAATCTATAATGTTTTCAAAATACAGCATTTTTAAAAATTATACATAGATAATAAATTCCAGGCTTAGTGTCAAAATTAGAAACCTCTAAAGTAACCCCAGGAATGGTACAAGTTTTTAATCATGCTTAGGAGTGGCTGACAGACATAGATCCCGGAAGAGTATGAATTTGTTTAGATTCAGCATTGGGACTTAAAGACTATTCTTTTGTTGATAGGGAGTGGTATTTTATGAGTTTTCGTCAAGCCCATCGAGCTTGGATTTTTGACGGCTATCTAATTATGATTAAAGAGCAGTTCTTTTAAAAAAATTCTTCATAATACACATAAGTGAGGAAGATGTAAATAATAGAAAAAAATTATCACACCCCACCCTGAGTCTGAAAATCCAACAACCAAAATTTCAGCTTTAAAACAGTCAATTTCAAACTTTTTTGACTGTGACCTACAGTTTAAAAACAATCTTTTCCATCAGATTCCAGTATGCAAATACATACATACTCTCTCTCTTCCCCATAAACATATTATATAGCCAAATAAAATCTCATGGAACAATACCCATACTTCCTTCTTGTGATGAATACTAATATTATATTTCATTCTACTCTATCCTATCTTATTCTAGTTCATTTAAAATGTAACCATTCAACTGATCCTGTGATCCACTAATGGGCTGCTATACATAGTTTGTGAAACACTACACACTCTGACAGGTAAGAAGAGACATCTGCAGTGATAATGATCATCACATTTCTCATCCATATATACCTGCATATACATGAATGCATGCGCATAGATATATATTTTTCAATATGTGTAGACCATGGTCATTTTCAGCTACATGGTCCCTGTTGCATGTATTCCCATATGGGGAACCAAGGCACAAGTTCTAAATCCCAATGTAAGCGAGCACACTGATGGCCCACCCTCTACCCTGGCACTAGCTCTCTAAGCACAGTGTAGAGTTTTCTAGTTTGGATCAATCTGAGGCCCAGCTCTCTAGGGATCAAACTGGGCAAGAGACACGTGGGAGCTATGTTTTCTGAGAAAGTACCAGGTAAGGCCAGTTGAAACTACTTGGCTGCTAGGGAGGATATGAACCTTCTGGGAGACTTCACATCTTATGGGCAAAAGCAAAGACTTTGGAGCAGGAGGCAATTGAGGTCAAGTCACAACCCTGACAATTATTAGTTGCTGAAGTTGGACAAGTTATATGACGGCACTTAGCATCAATTTCTCCAACTCTGTTAGGTGAAAATAATACCAATCTCACAGTTTACAACCATGATCTCTACAGGATCAAAGAGACAAGTACCTAACAAACACCCAGCACCATACCTGGCACAAGGTAGGCATTTGGCAAGTATTAGTTTTTCCCTCATGCTAGATGGCCTGAGGAAGGCAGAACCTCAACCATATATGTTGTGTGATGGTCCCAGAATTCCCAGTCAAACACTGGGCAGTTGGTACCGGAGTTTTACACACAAAAATATCCAAACCAGACAAAGGTTATTTAGCTTTATTCTAACTACTGGCAACACCAACTCCAGTTTCTAATTTACAAGACCATTTCTATAGATTAACATGGCCGCAAGAAGAGATACCTGGTTCCTGCCATTGGAGAAACCCTTTTCTCAAAGGAGCCCAGCTCTTGGTCCTTTCTTCAGGATGGCCATTACTTCCTCCAACTATAGTGGACACCCACAGTCTGCCCAGTATCCTCATCCACCTGGATACTGAGGGAACATCCTGTTGGTACAGCATGATCCTGCCCCAGAGCCACAACTGTGGGCCCAGAGCCTCCACCCTAATCCAAAATGAGCCAATAGGCCTTTTTCATTTGGAACCAATTCAAGAAAAAGCTCTACGATACAACATCCATGAGCTATTAGTAGGAATGTTTACATCCAATGGAGAAAATCTGTAATGAAACAAATACAAGAAAGAACCAGAGATGGGAGATAAATAGGAGTCCCTATTTCCATTGGTCCTTAGGCTAGTCACACGCCTGACACTGCGTTCCCTGACACACCCCAGAATCCTTATAATAAATTCCTTTTTTTTTTTTTTTGCTTCAGCTAGTTCATGTTGCATTTCTATCACTTGCAACTGAAAAAGTATTAAAATACATTAACCATGCTTCGGTTTTCAAGGACAGTGCTGAAGATGGCAAGGAATTTAAATGCTAAATATGTTAAGTGTCTCTTTCGTCACTTGTACTTTATTTCCACATATGTTGATTCCTTCAACAATTATTTATTAATATTCTATTATGTGCCAAACATCGTCTCCTTGAATCCTCACAACAACATCACAAGGTATGGGTTATTATCACTATTTATAGCCAAGGGAAGGAAGACTTGGGGAGTTAACTATCCAGTCTTACAGCTAATATGTAATGCTGTCTATCCTAAAGGATGCTATTTTTTTTTTTTTGAGAGAGAGAGAGAGAGAGAGAGAGAGGAGAGAGCATGAGTGGGGGGGGGGAGAATGACGGAAGGGAAAGAGAAAATCTGAAGCAGGCTCCATGGCCAACACGGAGCCCAACATGGGGCTTGATCTCATGACTCTGAGATCATGACCTGAGCCAAAATCGAGAGTCAGATGCTTAACCAACTAAGCCACCCTGCAGCCCGAGTATGCTATTTTTAAGTGCTTATATTCTTTGTAGGCTCTCTTTTCACCATAAGGACCAGACTTTGTTCCATCTCTTGGCTCTCCAAGAACCCCACCATGGGGCCTGTCACCTGCAGTTTCTGACTTCCTGAACCAGAGGCTGAGCCCCCTCAGTTCCAGAGCTGCCTGCTTCTGTGGACAGCCTCACAGCATTTTACCCCAACAGTGTTTGACCATATCGACATGTGATCACTACCCAATGCCACTCAACATTTCCTGCCTCGGGTCTTAGGGGAAACCAGAGAAAAAAGTCGTGAAGTTGAGGGGAAAATGCGTTTCTCCGGCATGGGTTTTTTCATCAGGTAGAATCCACTTGCCCGTATCAAACTCTAGCCCTGGAGAAGAGCCTAACTAGGAAAGGAAGGGAGCCATCCCCAGCAGGCTCTGAAGCCATTCCCAGACTCTGTAGTTCCCAGATCTGTCTCTGGAGGGAGGTTATGTGTGTAGTAAGGGGAGGAGAGAATAGAGGGTAAGGACTTTGGAAGGAAGCATGTGAACTGTACTCACAACTGGGATGAAACTCCAAAGTACTGCCATGTGGGAACTGAGGCTTTTTCTTTAAAACCCTCTCACCTGGGAATATCTTCTTCAATTGTTGCACATCCGTAAAGAAACACGATCACTCCAATTACAGAAGATGGAATGAGGAATGATGTATATAATCCCAGCCAGGCAAAATATAGTCCAATTTTTTCTCCAAAATACTTTCTGAAAAAGAAAGAATATCGCAACACATATTGAGAACACCATAAACTTCCCCCATTTCTGTTTATTCTAAACCTGACAAGTAAACGAAAAGAGATGGAAGTTAGATGGCGCAAGAGGGATCAGCACAAAGAACTGGTCTCTTCCACTATGAATTACATTCCCTGGGAATCACTCACACACACTCACACACATACACACACACCAGAGAATCCTGGTTATTCACGTGAACTAGCCCCAAGAAGGAATCCAGCCCTAACAGCAAACTGAAAGTAGACCATACATTTTGGCATCTTTACCAGACAAACATAAGTAACACATCATCATCTCATGAGTACCGTAACCCACAGAAAAACACCTTTTCAGAACTTCATTATGTGAAAAAAACACAAATTATCTAGGTGGGCATGCGTACTTATGTACACAAACCATAAAACTCAGAAAAATGACTAGAAGCATTTTGGTAAAATATTAGCAATGGTTTCTTTAGCTGATGGGATGATGGGTGGTTTTTATTTCTTTATTTTTTACGTTTCTGCAATTTTAAACTCTCTACTTTGTTAATGAATTAATTCTATAATTTAAAAAATTCTTTTAGAGCGAAAATTAACAAGCCATTTTTTTGATCTCTAGAGTTCAGGAAGTTAGTAAATTGTCACACTAAGTCTCTAAAAAGGGATTTTTCCTTTAAATAAATATTGGTGATGGACACTTGACAAGAAAAATACAAACCACAGAGAAACTGTATATTTTATTTCTCAAGAGGCTATGACATAAAACACAGGAGGGAAATGGGAGTGCAGCCCACTCTTTGATGTGAGGACAAAAAAATAAGAACAGTGAATTTAATCTATTTATCCACTACCAAAGATGCTGCTCCCACCTAGGATATAGACAATGGCAAGAAAATGTGGCTTCCACCCTAGCAACAAGAAAAATCCAGATAATCTGTGACATCAAACTTTCCTTGAACCCATCATAGAATGGAGGCTACAAGGTAATCATGTGAACTGAATTAAAAAAAAAAAAATGACAAGCCCCTCCAAGGAAAATGGGACATGAAAACACTTTCAGATTTGGCAGAGCACAGGAGAAAAGGGCAGTACAAAGAAAAAGATATAATCTTGTAAATTCTGAAAGGCTGAGTATAGGTTAGCATGACAGATTACAATAACTAAGAGCTCCAGACACAAGAGGGGCTTGCAGTCCTTCATAAGATCCCAGCCAATGACCACCACCTGGTACTCATAAGGAGGGTAATGGGCAAGGTAGGAAACTGGAAAGGGCCTCTTTATTGAAGAGGAGTGTGGAAGCACACTCATCTCCCAGGCCCATCTCTCATTCAAATCACTGAGTGAAAAGGATCAGCAGTCTGCTCCGGGAGAGGGGCAGGAGAGAGGATAATATCCTAGGGCCTATCATATATGTAATTGAAGCCCCAGGAAGATTAAAAGAAAGAAGACAGAAGAAATATCTGAATGGATTATGGCTAAAAAATTTCCAAAATTAATCAAAAACAACAAAACATAGGTCTAAGAACTCCAGAGAACCCCAAGCAGAATAAATATAAAAACAAAAACAGAAACCTACACACTGAGACATACCAAAATCAAATCTGAAAAACAAAGATAGAAAATCTTTAATTAAGCTGGAGTGAGGGTGTTGTTGGGGAGGGGAAGATGAGAAAGGGAGGATATTATATGCAAAGGAACAAAGATAAGATTTACAGCCAATTTCTTGGCAGAAACTATGCAAGCCAGAAGATAATAGAGTGACAACCTTAAAGTATGGAAAGAAAAAACAAACAAACAAAAAAAAAACAGTCAACCCAAAATACTCTCCCATGGGGATAAAACTAGTTCTTTGGAAGCCAAAAACTATCTTAGGTATTACAGTGGTTTTTAGGTCTCCAAAGTGCCACAGAACATAAACAGATATACAGTATATACGTGGTATTAAATTTCATGGAGGAAAGCAATAATAGAAAAAAGGCAGAGAAACATTGGTATCAAGCAAAAATAGTGATGATGTCGTATGGTGTTTATAACATATATAGGAGTAGGACAATAATAGCACAAAAGATAGGAGAGAGGAAACTGAGAGAGAGTATTGGAAGGCCCTTACCCAGGATGTGAAATGGTATAATATTATTTTAAAATAGAATGTGTTAAGTTAAAGATGGATTCTGTAAACCCTAGAACAACCACTGAATTTAAAAAATAGGTATAATTAACAGACCAAAAGTGGAGATGAAATGGAACCATTAAATATACTCATTTGCAAAGAAGTCATGAAAAGAGGAAAAACAGAAACAAACTACATATAAAACAAATAGAAAACAAATAGTAAGGTGGTAGTTTTAAAATATAAATATATTAATGATAACCAATGTAAACATACAAGAAACCCACTTTTATTATAAAGGCCTATATAGAAGAAAAGTAAAGAAATGAAAAAAGATATATCATGCAATCATGAATCAAAAGGAAGCTGGGACATATAAAGACTTCTGAACAAAGAACGTTACCTGGGATAAAGAGGCAGATCAATTAATGACAACATGGTCAACTCATTAAGAAGGCCTGATAATCCTAAATGCATACAGTAAAATGCACAGATCATTTGCATACATCAAAATACATACAATAAAAATGGACAGAACTAAAAGGATGAATAGACAAATTCTCAAGTATAAATTGGAGACTTCAACACTTCTCTCTCAAGTAATGGAGAAAACAAGGAGACATAAAATCAGTAAGGACATAGAAGTCACTACAAACCAACTTGACCTAATTGACATGTATAGAACAGTCCACTAAACAGCAGAAAATACATTCTTTTCAACACACATTCACCAAGATAGTCCATATTCTGAGTTATAAAGCTAATCTAACAAATCTAAAAGATTGAAGAAATAAAAATTTTATTCTCTGACCACAATTAAGTTAAACTAAAAATCAATAGCAGAAAGATATCTGAAAATATCCATAAATATTTGGAAATTAAACAACACCCATCCAAATAACCCAAAGAAAGGTCAACAAAGAAATAAAAAAGGAAATTAGAAAGTATTTTCAATTGAGTGAAAAGGAAAACACAACATATCAAAAGTTGTGGGATGCCTTTAAAGCAATACTTAGAAATTTATAACATTGAATATTTGTACTAACATAAGAAAGCTCTGAATCAATAATCTAAGCTTGCACTTCTACTAGAAAAAGAAGAAACTCAATCCAAAGCAAACAGAAGGAAAGAAATAATAAGGTGGGGAGCAGAGATCAGTGAGAATGAAAATAGAAAAACCATAAATAAAGTCAATGAAAACAAAAGCTGGTTGTTTGACAGGGTCCATAAAATTGATTAAATGTTTAGTCAGACTAATCAAGAAGATGAAAGATAAAACACCAGTTCCCAATATGGGGACTGAAAGAAGGGACATCACTATAGTTCCTATTTCCATGACCATGTGATACTGTTAGCTGCCTCCTCATGGGTGTTCATCTTGCCTTCCCCTCCAGGCTACATTTCCTACCTCTGGAAGAAGAGCGGGGAACAGAGAAGGTAGGAGAGACATAAGACATAACAAACACAAACTGTCCTAGTGCTCTTGTCTTGACCAACTCATTTGGCTCCGCTTTTAATTCTCACGACATCTTTTCCAGGTGAGGAAATGGAAGCTCTCTGGATAGAAGGACTTGTCCAAGGTCACATGGCTCGTGGATGGCAAAGCAAGCATTTGGTCCCTCGTCATCTGACCCCTCCATGTCTAGTGCTCTTGCCAGGATAGCAACAGCAGTCATAGGGACTGAAATTTATTGGGGGCTGATTCTTTGCCAAGCTCTGTTCTAAGAAGATTCTAAATACTGTCTCATTTTTTTAGTCCACACAACTCTATGAGGTAGTATGCTATTATCCTCCAATTATAGATGAAGAAAGGATGTACAAAAAGATTAACCCAAGGTCACATGGCTAGTAAGAAAGAAGATACAAGATTCAAATTCAGTGAGGCTACCTTGAGATAGATTCCAGCTCTTAAGATTCCTCCACAGTATACCAACTTATAGAAGGGACTTAAAGAAGGGAAGGAAATGGTTGGGCAGGGGACATGCCCAGGGAAAATTTGCTGAGTTGGAGAAAGACAGCACATAGCTACCTATCCATACTCTGTCCCCTGCCATGTTCTCATGTTTTTCCCAGCTCTGAAACCAGACCACCACAGCATCCCATCTGAGGCATTCAGCCATTCAGAGACCTAAGATTTCCCTGACTACTCTCTTAACCCATAAAATCTACAAATCTTTTCTCCTGTTGCTTCCCAGGTTTATGCTTACAGAGCTGATCTGATAAATTAAACTTCACTAGAGTACTTTGTCACTTCTTCCAGGAAAGGAATTACATTTCAAGCTTTATGGAAACACAATACCTTCACCCCTTAAAGGAAGGGGGAGAATATTTTGAGGAGCTCTTCTAACTGTTCCACATAAGCAATTTACTCCTCTTTTTACCATAAAAGCACCGATGACCAGAAAGGTGGACAGGAAGCCTGAACACAGAGCCTAGATACCTTGAAAAGGAAGGTAGCAAGGTCAAAATGTATTAAGGTAAGAACAGATGAAACAAAGAAGGAAAAAGAATCAATTATGTCATTTAAGGGCAACAGTTTAGTAGTCAAAAATTCAGATGCCTTCAGGAACCAGGCAGGAAACACAAATGATCAAAGCAGGCCAAGCACGATCAATCATAGCAACTCCAGTGGAACACTAGAGGGCTTAGTTCTATCTACAGGGACCAGTAACTCAGCTCCAGCAGTCCTGGGAGACATGTGAGAAAATGGGACCAGTAATGCCAGATCCTACAATTTTCTAAGAAAAGCTGGAAATCTGTATTTCTCCTAATTTTTCGATGTTGGCAACTAATTCAACTGGGAAAAAAAAATGTGCAGGCCAAACAAAAACATCCAAGGACTGGACAATGTCTATGGGATATCAGCTGGTGCCTTCTCT